AGAGATGCAGTTTTTCATGGGCTATCTCATGATATAAAAAGATTTTTAGAAGGCCATTGTTCTGGTATACTTTTAGGAGAAAAATATAAAAAGGGTGTGGGTGTGGGTGTTCTCTTCACTCTCACTCACACTCACACTCCACATACACACCCTCACCCACACCCACACCCACACCGCACACCTACAGCCACAGCCACATCCACACCCACACCCACACCCTCCACACCTACACCCTCCACACCAACACCCTCCACACCGACATCCTCCACACACCCATACCCACTCTCACCCACACTCACACTTCACACCCACACCCACACCTCCCACCCACACCCACACCCACACCCACCCACACCCACACCCAAACCCACACCCACACCCACACCCACCCGCACCCACACCCACACCCACACCCACACCCACACCCTTTCTTATATTTGAATATCCGTCAACTAAACGTCGAGTTATCCAATATACTAAAATCGGTTTACCAATTCACCATTACGTACACGTACTAATATATCAACAACAATAACAATTAGTTAAAAGTCCACCATGACGTATATGTACTAATACATCGACAACAATAATAACATCTTTGTGACTTGTATTTTAGAATTTTGTTTTTCAATTTATTGTGTTCTTTTAAAAATTTCCTTTCATGTCATTGCGTAGTTTTCATTATAATTATTGTAAGATTTGTGTCGTAAATGTAGTTAAAGTTACAATTAGCCTTTTTGTATGACTTGTTAAAAATTTGTAATACAGAGCCCTGATGAGTGTTTCAAATTTTTAAATAAAATAAACACGAAACGCGTTGCCGAAATTAAACTCTGCATTCTCTTTTTATTACTTCATAAAGCACAGATATTCAATTTGTCAAATTAAACACGACTTCATTGGTTGCTGAAAAGCAAGAGTTGGGATTAGCAGATTGATTTGTATTGGAGGGATATAGATTGATCTGTTTTCTATTTGAAACGTGTACGAAGACTTGTTATTATATTTCCACTATCGGAAAATAGACATTCTACACAGGTATTAGTTGCTGGAATAGCTAATACACGTTGAGCTATTTTATCCAATATAGGATATAATGATTTGTTATTATTCCAATATATTAAAATGTGCATATCTTTATTAATTCTTTTTTTATCCTCGATGTATTTATCAAAGTCAGTTATAAAAAAATACAAAACATTACGGGAACGGGAACCGAAAAAAGCTGTTTCCGCAGGACCCTACTGCGTGTTCATATTATATAGTCTCGTAATGAATGTTTATATTTCTTTCCTTTCAAACATTGAGCATGATGTGGATATGCTTGTAGTGAATGAAATGTTAGACGTTGTTTTTTTATGGGTGAAGAGTCAAATTGAAAATTAGGATTGAATTTATGATCATATTCGAAATTAGTAAAATCCTTATTGAATTTAAATGCATGCACTGTTCGTGTGCCAGAGAATTGAGCCAAGCCGAATTTGAGGAAATAGTTTATCACAATGAATCGATTTTCATCTTTCGGATGTACAATATAATGTGAACCAACAATATTATTATTTTGAGTACAGAATGCAGCAAAAGTGGTTTTCTTGAGTGAACCGGGAATACCAATTGTCACATGTTTGAGTGCCTGATCAGAGCAAAAATCGAATACACGAAGAATGTTCGGTTGTTCTGGTCTTGTGATATTGACTAAAACAACATATCGCATTTGAACTGTTGTTAATAAACGTGTACCATCCGGAAATATGGACAACAGACCAGTACTGATTCGCTGTTGGTATTTATTTACTTGAGAGAAATCAATAGCTAGAATTGGTTTAGGCATGCCTGGACCGATTAAATACATATTGTTCACACTAGCACCATTGACAAAAGAACGTCCTAATGGATCGCCAGGAATAGGTTGAAGTGCTATAAGTCCGATCCCGCGCCCAATTCCACTTGATGATCCCAGTGTCGTTGGAAATTGGAGTTGAAAAGTACGTTCTAATGTTCCATCAGGAAGAATATGTCGAACCGTATTTCGAAATAGAATCTGTGATGGATCAGTGCCGGCTAACGAAATAGGTTCAATAAAGTCTGAGACGAAGATTGAACCATTGGAAAGTCGACCAACTCCATGTGGATTAAAGTCGATAAAAGCTGAAATATTTTTGAGGATTGATATTGCCGTACGATTCTTAGCATTGATACGCACCATATTGCCTGGGCTGGCAGCCTGTTCATTACACATCATGGTCACATCAAATTCAGGGCCACCGATCGGCAAAAACTCGTCTGGACATGCACCTGGTGCATCAAGTGCATATAGAAATTTCGGACCTTCCGCAATATTTTTTGTAATCTTCCACACAAATACTTCTTTCTTTTGCGAACGAAAACTGAGAAGACCACCAGTAATATAATAGCGACCATCGGCAGATATGGCTGAATGATGCGGTTCATTCCCTACTTGCTTAATGCCGTTGGCGGTGTTCGAAACAATCGAAACTGTTTTCAAAATATGCCCATAGGTAGGAGACATTTCATCAAAGTCGATTACAGCAACGAAATCAGCGGCATTCGATACGGAACTATCTTGTCCGGACCAAACATACAATACAGATGGAGATGATGCTGTTACTTGATGTTTGTCAGTCCATGAAGATGCTATTAGCAGAAATATGCTGAACAATGTAACACAATGATGCATGTTTTCATTCAATGAACGTATGTTGAATTCTAAAATTTTTTTCACAAAAATAGAACGAATTCTGGTGAAATGAGCAATGGAGAGATTCCTCGAAAATAACAATAGTAGATTGGCCCACAATGAGAAAAAAAGTGCAACGAAAGGACACCGCTAGATAAGTTAACAACTCTGACATGGCTCTAGACACCGTTCCAGTCAATCTAAAAAGAAAGCCCGCACACTTTTACATAGTTCTGTGCATGTTTTTTAGTGCAATTTCGTAGTAACAGATTGACTGATGTGGGACTATTTTGCACGAGTAGTGTTTTCATTTTAAGTGTATTTTTCCATCATGATAAATCTATCTTATTAACTATAAAAGTTGTATGTGTGTTGATTGTTTTCTTAGCTGTTATATACCAGAAGATACAGATGATTTTCTTCTACAAAATGCTTATAAATGATCTATAGTGAAATCAGATAGAGGATGAAAATCAAGTACATCAATTTAAAATAGATATTCAAATTGTTACAATTTTTCCTTTAAATCTGGAAACATATCAACCGGTTCGAAATTTTCGACTTCATGCCGACTCAATAAAAATTACACCATTCGAAAGAGCGTAAAAAACTGAACAAGGTGAACTAATTTGCTCGGAGAGGTACTCCCAAGTCCTCAGCAAATATTTTCAAAAATAGATTTTACAGTAGAAATAGCTAAGATATTTCATTCTATCTATATCTTTCTCTGAGCAATCTATTTTTTTCTTTTTCGTTCTTTCGTTCTGTGTCCCATACAGTTGAACACACACGTGCTGATGAAGCAGTTTGATGAAGTAAAGTAAAAATGATTGAAAAAACGATGATATTTACAATAATTCAAAGATCTTTGTTAGATTTTTGTAAAAGCAATTCTAAAAAACGTTTAGTAAGAATTTAGAATATAATCTCATATAACAACAAAAGTGAAACATAACCACTTTGAAGTACTTTCATGATCAAAAAAAGTAAAATAAATTAAATTTTCTTAATATTGTTGACTTTTTCCAGTAACTTTTAGCACTTTTGTCATTTTCAGAAGCACTTAAAAATACTATCGAATAGATCAAATGAGCTATGTTGATTTTTACAGTTTATAAAGTACTTTATAGTACTTATGAGTCTCGAAAAAGTAATTAGGAACGCTTTTGATCCTTCCTAAAGTACTTAATAGTACTTTTAAGAATCATGCAGTAAATAATATTAATTTTTACACTTTCTGAATTACTTTTTTTGTACTTCTGACGCATTAAGAAGTAAATCTTAGTACTTTCAATCTTTTAAGAATACTTAATAGTATTTTTCTAAATCACGAAGTCTCCCTCGGACAAAAAAAGTTCCTTTTTCCAACTCATTTTTTCATCACCTAATACGCTGCGTTAAAAAAACAAAATACACCACAAGATACAGCGTGAAAAGTTCTACAATCTGCAAAGGACAGCTTATTTTATAATTACACTTTTTGTTTTCAAAATGAACAAAATTCTGAGCCACTAGTTTTTGACACTGCGAAAAAAATTGTTTTTTGGTACACGATAAATTCCTTTTCTTATGTCATTAATTAATGAGTCATTGTTTTTAACTTTATCCCTTTGTTCAGTCATCGATTATGACTTTCCATACAACTTTCTAACCAAAATAATAAGAAAAGAAATTGATTGAGTACCAAAAAAAGATCTTGTTTGCAGCGTCAAAAATTAGTTGCACAGAGTTTTGTGCATTTTGAGAAAAAAGTACAGCTATGGAATAATCTGTTCCATGTAAATTGTAGAACTTCTCATGCTGCATATTGTGGTATATTTTGTTTTCTTTTTAGTAAAGCATATCAAGTGATAAAAAGATGATATATGGAGAAAACCGAATTCGACGTGTACCAAACAATTATTTTTTTCGAACTGTCAAAAATTAGTGGCTCGGAGTTTTGTTCATTTTAAAAACAAAAAGTGCAATTATAAAATAAGCTATCCTTTGTAGATTGTAGAACTTTTCACGCTACATCTTCTGGAGTATTTTGTTTTTTTAATACAGTGTATTAGATGATAAAATAATGAATTGAAAAAAGATACTTCTTTTTTGTTTGTGAGAGACTATTTTTTTCGAAGTGTCAAAAACTAGTGGCTCAGAATTTTGTTCATTTTGAAAACAAAAAGTGCAATTATGAAACAAGCTGTCCTTTGCAGATTGTAGAGCTTTTCATGCTGCATCTTGCGGTGTATTTTGTTTTTTTTAATACAGCGTATTAGATGATGAAATAATGAATCGGAAAAAGGAACTTTTTTTTATCCAAGGAAGAGTATATTATATTAATTTTCATACTATCTAAAATACTTTCGCGTCCTTTTGAGTTCCAAAAGAATAATCACAAGTACTTTGGACAAGCTAAAAAGTATTTCATAGTACTTTGCTCAATCATCAATTATAGTATATTGATTTTTATACTTTCTAAGGTACTTCATTGTACTTCGTTTCCAAAAAGTAATAGAAAGCGGTTTCCATCTGAATAAAAGTGCTTGCTATTGATAATACTTTTACTAAATCATCATGCATAATGTATCAATTCTAATACTTTCTGAAGTACTTTCTTATAATTTTGAGATTCGATCAAGTAATCATAAGTATTTTTGATATTTATAGAACTACCTAATAGCATTCTTTTCGAATGATAAAGTATGATATATTCACTTTTATACGTTTTAAAAAACTTAATGGTATTTCTGTGTTTCGAAGAAATAATAGTAAGTGGTTTTAATGCGCTTCAAAGTATTTGATAGTACTTTTTCTAAATCATGAGGTGCATTATATAAATTCCTAGACTTTTTAAAGTAGTCTATTGTATTTCTGAGTTTTCAAGAAGAAAGAATAGGAACTTTTAATCTCTTTAATAGTATGGATTAGTACTTGGGGTATTTTTTTAGATTCATTTAATGACTTGAAACATTTTTGGAAGTACTTCATGACACTTTCCGTAAGAGAAGAAGTAATTAATAGATCTTTCTATACTTAGAGAGATGATTTATAGTGATAGTTCATTTTCATACGATCGACAGCTAGAAATCATAGAAAGAATTAGGTATTAAACATTAAGTTATCAATGTAAAAAAAAAAGTAAAAAAGATCTACTGTTAGATACTGTTGGTATTAGTAAAGTAAAATAAATTAAATTTTCTTACTATTTTTCACTTTTTCTAATGAATTTTAGTACTTTTTGCACTTGTAGAAATACTTAATAGTACTGTGCCATTTATGAGGTGTATTATATTAATTTTTACACTTTCTAAAGTATTTTATTGCACTTTTCACGTATAAAGAAGTAATTCATAATACTTTTAATTTTTTCAAAAGTACTTAATAGTACGTTCCACAATCATAACGTATATTATATGGTTTTCTTCATACTTCCTAAAGTAGTTTATTGTACTTCTCGCGTATAAAGAAGTAATTGCACGTAGTTTTTATCTTCTTAAAAGTACTGAACAGTACTTTTTCCAAACATGAAGTATATTTTCTTAATTCATACATCTTCGGAAGTACTTTATTGTATTATTGAGTTTCCAAGAAGTAATACCAAGTACCTTTTATCTGTTTAAAAGTACTCAATAGTACTTTTGGAACTCATGAAGTCTAATCTATTCATTTTTATTCTTTCTAAGGTGCTTTATTGTACTTTTGGCAT